GAAATAGACACACAGCAATTCTGCACCCCAATACTGATTATACTAGATCATGCACATGTAATCATGTACCTAAATGACTTTCACATGCTTCTTTGCCTAAATATACTGTAAAGGGAAACATTATTTCCTGACATCCAGGATATTTTGTTCCCCCTGTTAATAAAGACATGCAGAAATTCAGGACCCCAATATGTCATATTTAGGCAAAGAGGTATGTAAGATGGCTGGAAATCATTCATATATACAGTATTGGGGTCCACAGTTGCTGTCTGTCTGTTTCAGCTGGGGGAACCCAGCTGGTGTTTGGCAGGGTGGAGTGGCGGCTCTGAGGCTTGGGATCTGTGCCAGCAATTGGAAGGTTGTTGGTTCAAATCCCATGAATGTCCAGAGTGATTTTACTCCGTTGGGCCCTTGAGCAAGGCCCTTAACCTGCAATTGTTTCATCCTGAGTATGACACTCATCTACATCCAGCCCTTTAAGGAAGTCCTCCAATTTACAAGGAAAAACTTGGGGGTTGATGGCAGCTTTGGCACTTCAGCCACTGGGGGGAAAAAAAACTCACACTGGTCCATTTGGACTAGTGTGGTGCTGAGGTATTGCCCACTGCATGGCGGCACTCAGGTTCTCATCCCTGAGGTGGTTCATCATGTGGTGGGTGAATGCTCCTTACCTCTACCTTCTCTCTCATATTTGGGCATGTGGGATGGCTGAAAGTTATTCAGATACATAATTACATGTGCATGAACTAGTGTTACTAGCATTGAGGTACAAAGTTGCTGTGTGTCTATGTTACCAGGGAGAACCCTGTATTTTAGGCCTAAGGTAATAATGTTCCCCCTTAAAATCTATCTATGCACAAACAGTATTATAATGGCTGATAAAGTGATTCAGCTATGCATATACATGGAAAGAGTTTTGCATCTCCAATTTGACGTCCTGTAATATCTGTATCTGTTTTTCCAGCATAGGAAACCGTGCATCACAATGTTATAATAGAACTAGATTACGTCTCTTTGCTTACAAAGACATCGTTGTCAGCAGTAGTTGATAAATGTAAGGAGTAAGTTGCTATAATTAAGTTATAATTAGAAATGAACAATATCACATCGATCGTCACGCGTACATAGGTTAAGTCCTACAAGCAATACAACCGTTTTCTGTATTTTCCCAGCACATATCTTTTACCAGCGATTTAAATCATTTTAATTATCTTTCAAAACACAGAAGCATTGAAAAGACATGAGATGTTTTGCATATATGGCTTGTTTACCTCAACACTTTCGTAAAAAGACAATAAAACGACAGAGAAACCGCGTGTAACTATAAAGAAGCGGGTGTCGTCATGATTTCAAATCAGCGCGCGACAGGAGGACCATGGGGGAACTGAATTTCCCGTAACACCTGTTCTAACGGGACGGAAAGTTTCACTAACGTTTCACTACAATATATTGTGATGGAATTAGTTAACGTAGTAACACAGGCAACTCTGTCAATCTCGCGTTATGTTCATTTTCCTGGCAGTCGGTTTTACACGAAAAGTAAATTGTTATCATGCGGGGACTGATTTAAATTCCCGTGTAATCTTCAGGTTTGTTGGTTCTTTGAGACAGTAGATTTTTTTATGTTTAATTCAATAAGGTATGCGCCGCGTTCCCTTCTCCAAAGAGTGCTATTAAGTCTGTATGGCTAGACCCCATCCCCATCGCTTATTCCAAATAACATTTGCATTCCGTGGACATTATTGTGCAACAGCTGGCGATACAACAAACTTACCTTAAGATTTCGATTCCTTTGTTCCCAACACAATAATAAACAAGTCCAGACGCGATCACAATAATCAGTCATCCAGCTCACTTAATAGTTATTTATCAGCGCGAGGCACTTGGTAAAACTGGTTAGCTAAACAATACTGCCATTATACACTTAACAAGACATTTGCTTATGAACAGTGAATGTCTGCATCGCATGTAACCTGTGTAACAATGTGTATGTTTGCGCGAACGGCAGACTAACAAACTAAAACTTAAACATCATTCAGTATCAGCACAGACGACATATCCGTCAAATCATTCAGAATTCATCATTCTAAATCCACATAAATTATAAGCACTGGCAATATAACCTCTAAAAGATACACTGAAGTCGACCAATAGTCTGTAAAGAATTTACCAGTTATACATGGAACCATCATCGTGGTTCCATAGTGTAGTGGTTATCACGTCTGCTTTACACGCAGAAGGTCCTGGGTTCGAGCCCCAGTGGAACCAGTTCGTTTTGTCATTGAACTTATTGTTCTTTGCTTTAATATAAGCAGTTTTCTCGTGCAAATGAAGGTAAAGAAAATTTCTTACTGTTTTGTGCTGCACGAACATAAGGCGCTTACACCAAACACGGCACAGCATTCTTACGAAACATGCTTTGCCCTTTAAATTGTTCATACAAATCTTCGTGTAAAATGTCTAGGCTTAGCGTTTTATTCTCAGGTAACTAAATAGCAAACCCTATTTCCAACTACCATATTATTATGTCGTCAGAACTTTTCGATAATAGCAGCATCGCGTATTCTATTATACAAGAATCGTCTTACGAATGCAAAATTACGTTTTCTTGCGCCCCCCAGCGTTTCAGTATTCAAAAAATTGGAAGAGGCTTATAAAAACTGCGTTTGCGTCAATAAATTACATTTAACAAACGCATAGCATGAATAATAATAATAATAGTAGTAATAATAATAATAATAATAATTATTATTATTATTATTATGATTGTTGTTGTTGTTATTGTTATTATTCTTTAATTTAGTCCCAGTCAAAACATACTTGGTAGATTTTCATGATACAAGGTAGTTTTAATGATTCCCATGATGTCGCCATAATCGTCCACATTATAAACATGTCCATGCCCGGTGGGATGAGCGCACTTAGGTATGCAAGTTGCAGGCACCTAACCAGACTCAAGGTGACGTATATATGTAGGTGGATTTTTAAAAGAGGCTCCTATGAAGTCGTACGTAAAGTGTCTTTGTGACACATTACAGTGAGAATGGTTTATTAACAATGACTGAATACTTTTGTTCTAATTTTGCTTGAAGTACATGAAATATTGGGGGGGAAAAAGTCAAACAAAAAATCAGATGGAAATAGTTTTGTCCAAATATCATAAACCATCTATGCTATTGAGAAATCATTTATCTTAGTATCTGTTCTGTACTGAACAGATCGATAAAATAATATAGTGGAAAAAATGACAACAACAACAATAATAATAATAATAATAACAGTAGCTCCACAGGTGGTGTTTTCTGCCAGGTAAGGATGGGTGTGTACTGCATCCTTTCGCTCTCTCTCTCTGTCATTTGTGTGCTGTCCATCATGGTTTGCACGCATGAGATTGCTTCCATAATCCAAAGAAATGCCATTCGAATCAAATCACTTTTTATTGTCACATCACTAGAAAGAGTGAACTAGTGAGTGAGCTTTCTGGATGGCTCACACTTGGGTGTGCGTGTCTGCCTGTCTCACATTCGCCTTTGCTTCCAGGAAAGGCTGAGGATCACTACTTCTTTGAGAAGCATTTGCTCAAAATGAAATGATGAATGGTATGAAATTCATCCAGGACTCTATTCATTATTGTCAATCTGTAAGACAGCACAACTACAGTGTGTTACCAACTCCCCGAGCAGTGCAAACATAACCAAGAGACAAGGCATGTAATATGTGAACAATATTTACGAAATCAAGAGCTATATGACTAATCTTGTTTGCATATCAAAGATGCTGGTTAATGAATAAGGTCATTCTGAGCCAATACCGTCACTGTTGCATTTAGACGTTAACATTGCCCAAAGACAGATGTTCCTCTTTTTTGTTTGACTAAACATATTGCTAAATTGGTTTCACTTCCAGATTCCACGTGTCTCTTGCAGCAAAGTCATCTCTGCTGAGCATGTATCTCCTTAACTTCTTTTGTTTTACATCCTTTCCCCTTTTCTCTCCTCCAGCTCCTTAGCAGCTGCTTAAGCTGCCTCCCACCATCCTGCTGAAACCATCATTGTCTCCTAAAGATATACCAGGATGGTCCTGAGTTGCTCAGAATAATTATGCGTAACATGACTCTTCTGTCTATCAAAAACCTTGAAGAATTTTTGTAAAATATGGTGTTCTTTTGCTTATATTGAACATTAACATATTAATAGGCCAGTGTATTCCCATGTCATTTAATATGTGCTCTAGGTCACATGGTTTATAGATTTCAGGTCACTTGGTACATAGACTAGACTAGGAACATAGACGTAAAAAGTCATGGAGCCCTGTTGTTATATCATTAAGTACTCATAGTTGACATATTGAATGCAGGTGAAATGGACAGGGGTAAAGATCTAATGAATTTGGCAAGGGCCAAATCATTATGGCCAGGCAATAGGGACGGAGAGCCTCCGAAACAGCAAGGCTTCTGGATTTCCCAGTGCTGCCTTACTGTCTAATATATCCCAGACCTTGACAAGCACTGTATTTATGAGATAGTCAACAGTATTTGTATCATGGGCGGGTCTTCAGAATGTTTTGGCTTATCAGTGTACATTATCTGTGTTTCCTCCTGGGAATGGGCTTTTGAATGAAGAAAAAAAAAACAGTTACAGTAGTGGCCAGAAGTGTGGCCTCATACCTTCAGGGCTGTGGGATTGATTTACACCCCCGGCTCTGTGTGTGTATGTAGTTTACATGTCCTCTGTGTTTTTGCACAGGTTTCCTATCACAGTTCAAAAAACATGCATGTAGGTGAGTCTGTGTCTCCAAATTGCCCTTAGCATGCTGCGTGTGAGTGTGTCCTTTGCTTAGTGCCCAGTGCTCTAGGGTCACCGTGACCCTATACTGGAAAAGAAAATGTAGGAGATAAGTGGATAATAATCATCATCATCATCATCATCATCATCATCCAGTATAACCGATAGGAAGATGGATGGAGAATATCAGTATTTTACTACAACTCCCATGAGCACCTCGCGAGCCCCGGTCGCAATCATAACGGCAGAGGAAGCGCTCGCGCACCGTGAAGAGAGGAACATGGCGAATTCGGCGGCTTCTGTTGTTTCGGCTGCAGGCAGAGACCCTGCGGTTGATCGGTCTCTACGCTCCGTTTTCGGTATGGCTGAATGTCGGTTAACCTGTTGTATCCTACAGATTCACATTTTCGGGTTTCTTTTATTCGATCAATGGGAATAAAGTCAGAAATTGACCGGTCCCGGGATAGTGAGCAAGCCCTCCGGTACAATGGCCCGCTAAAAACAGTAAGGATGGGCAAAATGACTTGTTTTGGGACACAGTTCGTTTGATTCACTTAACGTAAAAGATTCTTTCGGTTTCGTTCATCAACTCGTTCTGTAGCACTTCCTGTTTGCATAAAATACATCTGAAACCGTTGTGTTCCGACATGATAAAAAGCCTGTAATTTAGGCAAAACAGTGCTAAGGAGTAAGTTAAGTGCCATTAATAAGCCATGTGGAAAAAACAATATTTGTTATTGAATTATAGTCTATGTCTTGGCAGCACTGTGTATTAGTTACGCGTGTATTTTTAAAACACAAATCTAACAGCTCATGACATAGTCAGCTAACGAGAGCAAACGTTCACCAGTCTTGGTTAAAATCTGTTTAATGTCGTGAAAATGTTGCATCTTTAAAATGCAGTTGCAGCATACGGGTAGTCATTGTACATGTAGGCCATTTTAAATCGAGACAAGTCTACACACATATGTACATGTATGTGACAGTTTTATTAAATGCAGTCTGTAGGGTTTGCAAACTAGCTCAACACTTTTGATATAGCTAATTTTGGGTTTTTAACAATCCACATAATATGGATTTGCCATAAGATTTCTTGCGTGAGAGGCTGAAAGTGTATCACACCAGATGAGTGAGTTGGCAACCTTGTAGGTTACTTACCACACCAGTAGATGGTATATTTTAGGCACAACCAAGGTACAGGTCTCTCGTGCGAGAACGTGAGGCAGAATGAGAGACTTTATTATTTTTTTCTACTCACCCACCGACTCGTTCAGCATGAGAGACTTGAAGGACTGACCAAGTTGGTGAGTGTGTGGGTGAATGAGAGAGTAGCCGTATATATTCAGTCCCAGGTTTAGTTTCCAGCCAGTCGTATGTTCGCTAACAGCCCGCCCTTACATGCCTCATTGGCTCTCACTGGCCATAGTCGAGGAGGGAAGCAGCAAACCCATCATATTTCCGAGGACAAGCAGAAGAAGGAAAAGAGCAAATCTGTACAGGGAAGTGAACATGAGTGTAGTTCCTGTAAGCGACTCGTTCCCCGTGAACATCACACCTTTAAAAGCAGAGTTCTGTTACCAGGAGAAGGAGCTCCGCTGGTGTTTTGCTCTGCTGGATGTTTATTGGTGTATCTGTAGGTAGCTGTTTCTAATGCTAGCTTTAAAAGTCTCTGTAAGAGACCCGAAAATCCTGCTGTCTGACGTGTTGATCGTCTGTGTGTCTTTTTAGTGGGAAACATTCCGTACGAAGCCACAGAGGAGCAACTAAAGGATATCTTCTCTGAGGTCGGACTCGTCGTCAGCTTCAGGTATGGAGATCAGGCTGATTTAGATTTAGTGGCTTTTAAAATAATGAAAAACTCATCAGCGGAGGATGGTCCGGCCCTCTACAGAAACGGCACGACCCACCTATAGGGTCGCCATCACTCTGCATTGGGTTCGCTCCCACTCACATTTTATCCCCTGCAGGCTGGTGTACGATCGTGAAACAGGCAAACCGAAGGGTTATGGCTTCTGCGAGTACCAGGACCAGGAGACGGCGCTTAGCGCCATGCGGAACCTGAACGGCCGGGAGTTTAGCGGCAGAGCCCTGCGTGTGGACAACGCCGCCAGCGAGAAGAACAAGGAGGAGCTCAAGAGTGAGTTGCGGAGCTCATGCAGACGTGTGTGGTGGTCCTGTCACCATAATGTGACGCCACTAACACACGGGTGCTGTGCTCTGAATGTTAATATAGTATCTTAATAGGTGTAAGGGGTAGTGTGTGGCTCTGCGGGTTAGGACCCTGTATCCATGAACAGAAGGTCGCTGGTTCGAATCTCGTGTCTGGCCGCGCCGTTGGTCCCTTGATGCCCAGTAGCTCTGGGGAGTTGGATGCTGGCAGACTCTGCTTTTCATGCGTCAAACACACACATTGAAATGTTTTTAAAAATTCATAATGAGTACGGGATTAAGTAAGCAGCTGAAAACTTGCCGCTTCCATACAGAGTGGGAGGAAGACTTTAAATGAGTGTGTTTGATCTGCCAAATGAGCATCGCTGTTCCGAAAAAAAGGAAAGGTGGAGAGGCCGTACGACTTTTTGGGAGGTTGGTAGATCGCAGTGAGCTGATCACCATAAAAGTAGATTGCGAGTTAGAAATCTGGGCACCCGTGTCTTAAGTAATTTATTTTAATTCCCAGGTTTAGCTACTGGTTGCTGGTTCAAATTTTGTAATCAGCAGAGTGATTTCACCTTTGGGCCCTGAGCAAGGTCGTTAAACGTCAATTGCATCTGGGACTCTCAGACTCTGCATTCTCAAATGTATGCTGCTGTTGATAAAGTGTAAATACAGGGAAGATCTATGCTGCGATATCAGTGGCAGGCAGTGATCTTTCAGAAGTCCCTCACCCTTCGGCTCCCAGCTGTCCGTAATACAGCGTAAACCCTGTGTAACCACTTGTTACCTGAGATATCAAGAAGCAGGTCTGTCATGTGACTGTTAACTTTCGCGGCAGGCCTGGGCACGGGCGCGCCCGTCATCGAGTCCCCGTACGGAGACGGCTGCCAGCCAGAGGAGGCGCCAGAGTCCATCAGTCGTGCTGTGGCCAGTCTGCCCCCGGAGCAGATGTTCGAGCTCATGAAACAGATGAAAGTGAGTGAATCTGATCTGCGATCAGAGCTCTCTGACCATCACTTTCACAGGATCCTGGGAGGAGATAAAAAAAATGAAGCATTGTGTCTATAAAGGACTTGGCACTGGTGTGTGTGAGGTTTCCCAAACTGCAGTGGATGAATGAAGGGATAAATGTGCGGGTCTTTGCAGCTTTGTGTGCAGAACAGCCCCCAGGAGGCCAGGAACATGCTGCTGCAGAACCCCCAGCTGGCCTACGCCCTGCTCCAGGCTCAGGTGGTCATGAGGATCGTCGACCCCGAAATCGCCCTGGTGAGGACTGACCTGAGCACTACCTCTGTGTCAGTGCGTGTACGTGTGCGGGGTGGATTTCGGCTCGAGGGATTCCCAAAGCCCCAGTCGCCGCATGATACAGCCTGGCATGCACAACATGAAAGAACAGGATGCAAAAAATGCAATTTATGGGATGCATTTATTAATGAAAAGGGATTAAATAAACTTTTGTATTTAAAGAAATTTTAAGCCCAAGTGGCACTGGATGGAGGTGCGGTCGTCACACTGTCACATGTGCCCCGCCTTCTGTGTTCTGTTGCCAGGGATAGTCCGTTCTCGTTGTAATACCTGTTGCTGTGTCTCGTATCCCCTGCCTTGCAGAAAATGCTTCACCGGCAGACTCCAGTGCAGCCCCTGGTTCCCAGCAGCCAAGTCGGCGCAGGCCCCGGACAGCCCCTCCCCCAGCAGAATGTGCCACAACCACAGCCCATGGTGAGTCTGTGTCGTCCCCTGCGCTGGTTGACGCTCCCTGCCACACTCAGGGGTGGATCACGCGTTTGTAACAGCAGTGGGACCTTTGAGATCTCGCCTTTTCCTTATGTGACCCAGCACTGAGTTTCTCTTGTCTTGTGGCCCCGCCTTCCCTCCCTGCTGCCCCGCCTCTTCATTTTCGCACCCCACCTTCCCATTTTCGCACCCCGACATCCCTCCTCGCCTCCTCACCTCTCTATTTCCCCTCCTCGCTTCCCCTCCCTGTCTTGCTGCCACTCGTAGGTCGCCATGCACGTGAACGGAGCTCCGCAGATGATGCAGCCCTCCCAGATGGTTGGGGGTGTTCCAGGGCCCATGCCAGGACAAGGACCTATGGGTCCAGCAGGTGAGTGGAGCCCTTGCCTGCCGTGCCGCCCCGCCGCCCGGGGTCTGGAAGGCCCCCTCACGTCGTGCCGCCCTCTGTGCTCCTTTGCAGTTGGCATGCAGCCCCAGATGGGCCTGCCGCAGGGTGGCCCCGTGCCCATGGACAGGGGCCAAGGTACGTGTGCTGCTTTGCCGGCTCTCTTGGCATCTCTCTGTGAGGTCATGTCGCCGCCGAGGGGAAGTTGGGGGGGGGGGGGGCATTTCAGCTCTCATCACTCTTTGCGACCAATTAAGCGGATACAAAACTAACTTATTGGCAGTTCTAACTGTTTGAACCCCTTTTCAAAATCGGTGTGTGGCTTGAGGTCCCTGCTCCTGCCTTTTTAAAATGCTGATTTGCCGGACTTGTGTTTTGTGTCTGCGTGCCAGTGTGTGGCTTTACACTTGGAGTTCACATGAGAACTGTACTTTCTCCCTCCCTTCTGTCCTTCAGTCCTTCCTTCCTCCCATAAGTGTTTTCCTCACTTCGTTGTGTGACATTATGCTTTGTCACCACCGGGGAGTGTCGTGAGCTGGGCTCTTGCTCTTAGAGTCCCTGAGCAGTCCCCTGCTTGGTATCCGGGGTGAGCGTAACCAAGTGTGAAGCCCTGCTTGGTGACGGCAGGCTGTGCTGCTCCGGGTTGCGCTGTGCCTGAGTTCTGTCTGCTGTTCTCTTTATTTCCCGCTGGCCCAGGGAGCCTTCAGCACTCTCCCGTGGGATCGTCAGCGCAGGCCGCTATCGAGCGGCCACAAGGTACCGCTAGTGTGCCGCGCTGAGCCGCGTCCGAACGCGGCACCCGAACCCGGCGCCCTGTGGCAGCTCTTCCGCTGCTGCACTGGATCTTTAATTAGCATTTTCTTTTGATCCTGGGGGAGAATAGGAGCTGGTTAGTTTATCGTGTGGCTGATTCTGGACTCGTTCGGTTTGTCCTGCATCCTTGCGGAGTTTGATCAGCTGTCAGAGCTGCAGACCAGCAGCAGTGTGTGTGTGTCTGGGGGGTGGGGGAGTTATTCCTTACTTGCATGGATTTCTGTGTTATGCCCCCCTACCTACCCACCTCTCCACCCCTTCCTTTTGGGACTCTCCTACCGCTGGTTCATGCTGCCCCCTTTCTCCACAGTGCCAATGGCAGACCCTCGTGCCCCCTTGCGGGGGGGAGTGCCCCCAGGCCCTGCCGTCGTGCCCCCCCGCGGCCTGCTCGGCGATGGCCCCAACGACCCCCGTGGTGGCACCTTGCTGTCGGTGACGGGCGAGGTGGTGGAGCCCAGGTGTGCCCGTGTGTCGGGGGGGCGGCAGACAGAATTCCTGACCTGTAAGATTAGTCGGGGATGAAGAGGATGAAGGTCCTGATTACCAACACCAATCATTTCAGCTCCAAAATACATGCAGCCAGTAAAAATGAGATGCAGTCCTTGAAAGTTTACCTTTGTGGGAGTGTAACCCCCACCACACCAATGTGTGAGGTGAAATGGGCAGCTGCAGCGGCTCTGTACTGTGTGCGGTTCTGTTTACAAACCTTCGGGGGGGGGCTGAATTTGTGCCTCTCTCCCTGTGCGTGTGTGTGCGTGTGCCTGTGCATGCGTGTGCCTGTGCGTGTCCACTGCAGTCGCAGCTTCATGGGGGGCCCTCCACACCCGGGCCCGCCCATGCACATGGGCCCACCCGAGATGCGAGGCCCGCACGACATGAGGGGGGGGCCGATGATGGAGCAGAGGGGGCCGCCCATGGAAGCCAGGGGTGAGTGCAGGGTGCCTGGTGGCTGTGGCGGGGGCCCCATCAGCCACAAGTGGGGGGTGGGTTCACATATGAACAAATGGTGTCAACATTTCATACAGGGGTATTCACTGCCACTTCTTTTTTAGAGCATGTTTGTTACGGTTGCTCATTATGTCTCCTGAAGCAGCATGTATGTAGTGGGTGTGTGTGCGTGTGTGTGTGCGTGTGTGTGTGCGTGTGTGTGTGCGTGTGTGTGTGTGCGTGTGTGTGTGTGTGTGTGTGTGTATGTGCGTGCGTGCCTGCGGTGACGCCGATGGCTCTCTGCCCCCCAGCTCCCATCCCTGGAGGGCGCGACCCCAGAGCTGTGGAGGCCCGTGGCTTAGATGGCAGGGGTCCCGTGTCAGCCCAGAGGGTTCCCATGGCAACTGGGATGCAGGGCCCAGTGCCACACGGCATGGGAGCCGGCGCACCTCCACCCACAAGACCGGTGAGACCGCCACCAACCGCCCCCCCCCGCACCATTTTACCCCCCTACCCCTGACAATCATTTATCAGTTGCTCCCCTCTCTCTCACGTTCCCTCTCTTTCCATCTCTGTGGACAGGCACCTGGCCACACGGGGGTGCCCCAGGGTGGAGGGGGCTTCAGCCCGGGTCAGAGCCAGGTCACGTCCCAGGACCACGAGAAGGTGAGCTTTAGAGTGTTCGGTTTGCCTGATTACCAGTCTGCGACCCATATGAACAGCTGAATATTCTCTCTGCCCTTGGCTACACTGGTATTTGCTATGGTGTCTGTACATTCACACTCAGCACTGGACCTGTAAACACTGAACTGTACCCAGAATCGTTTCCTGGTGTGTCTCACTTCCTGATAACCTTCCCGTTACAGTTGGAGGAGGGTTAAAGTTAAGCACTGACACTTGGGATTTCTGGTCTCACCTCACCCCCCCCACCCCCCAACCCCATCCAGGCTGCACTGATCATGCAGGTACTGCAGCTAACCCCAGAACAGATCGCCATGCTGCCTCCGGAACAGAGGCAGAGCATCCTTATCCTGAAGGAACAGATCCAGAAGACAGCTGGAGCACCCTAATGCCACAGGGCGAGGGGAGGCAGCTACGGTCTTCTCTGATGGGCAAGAAAACGATCATCCTTTTAATAAATAAAATATGTTGCGTTGTATATTTAGCCCTGTGGCTGGCTTGTGTATTTTTCCTTTTAGACAAAGTGAAAGATGTATTCTGAGAAGCAGTTGTGTAAAGCCCAGAATCCGTGTGTCCAGTTAGAATGACATTCAGCACCAGCAGAGGTGGACATTTTAGGTCCAGAAAATAATAATCCAGACCAAGATATTGTTTAAACAACCATTTGAATGTAAAGTCAGTCACAGAGCACTCACCCTGTTGGCTGAAACAAAATCTTGGTCTGAATTAAAATTTTTTGGACCTGAAATGTCCATCTCTGAGCACCAGGATGCTGACTGATAGACAGTTGTATAGCCTTGCCTTTTATTTATTTTTTTTCACACACACACACACACACACACACACACACACACACACACACACACAAAGCTGTTTGCCTATTGGCTGTATTTCCCCCTTATTTGGTGAATTCAGTGGAATTCCAGCCAGCAACTTGGTCAGACAACTCACAAGGATTATGTCAATAGTCGTAAAAGTTCAGGATGTCACCTGAGAGCAGTGTTAAAATTTAGATTATCAGTTGAGTCAAAGGATTTGCACGTGGTGGTGCTGTCTCTGCAGCTGCAATGTCCAAATCTGAGTTACTAACGTGGCAGCTAAGAAGTTCCAAAGTTCCTGATGGAAGCTCCTCGCTATGTTAGTGTGTCAGTTCCTATTCTTGGCACCTATGACTGTAGGATCATTTTACATGTGAGACTGCGGAGTATTGCAGGTGTGGTTAGTTCAGGAGATGTATCAATCACAGGCATCATGTAACTAGTGAAATGACCAAGGTGGCCAAGCACAGAACCCAGGTGGATTTCCTTAGGTAATGGCATAGCGAAACAGGCGTCCTTCAGTCTGTGTAATGTCTTTAAGGCAGACCAGAATTTAGCAGGAGGTGGTGCAAACAGTGAGGAGCCTACAGGCCTGAGAACTTTGAGAAGTTGCCCTGGTTGAAGCAGAACTTGGTCCTTTGAGGCTGAGAACTGTATGCGCTTTTGCTTCGGCATCTTGGCTGATACCAGAGGGCCACAGAAGAAGCAGCCCTGTGTGTGAGAGGAGCCGACTGGATACCAAAGTCACCGGACAGAGCATATTCCAGGTTTACACCTGCAGCAATTTGTGAAGACCGATATCTACAGGAAAATGAGGTGATGTGTTCTCTGCATTCAGGCACACCATTACTGACCACGACATCACCAATCTGTTTATAACGACTGGAGCTACCATCTGGCCATATGCAGAACAGCACTAATTTAGGACATTGATTCCAATGCTCAAACATCAAAATATTCCAAACAAAAGGTGAAACTATAGTTGGCCTATCTCATATGTTGCCTGGTACACATCAATGGATTTGACTCTGAATTTGTACCTGATGAACTTCAGTTCTGAAGCAAAGGAAGACACCGGGGTCCCACAGCCAATCAGCATGCTGACTTCATAGTCAAACACACCCTCGCTGGTTGTCCCAAATGGGGCATCCATGCCAATTGTATGGAGAGCACGTGGTAAATAATCTCCTGAAACAGGCACCTGGGATCTTATGGTTCACTGCATTTCTCTCATTAGAGCTGTGTTTCCAAATGCGAAATTTCTCAGGGACCCACAGTCAGTCCATGTTTTTGCTCCCTCCCAGCTCCCTGCCAAAGGAAGGGAGCAAAAACGTCAAAGGTGAGAAGGTGCTATGTGCCACAAGTGTACCAAAAAGTGAAGTGCTATAAGTAACGGAATCCCTACCCCACTTCTTAGATGTTCAGTCAAATGAAAAATACAATGAGGAGGTGGAAGCGACCAGACAGCCTCAATATAGGAGTGTCATATGACATCCATGGATGGGGTGATCATAAGAATGTGTCCCAGACTCATGACAATGGTGGTGAAAACCACAATATATATATACAGTGGTACCTCAGTTCTCAAACTCATTAGAACTCGAATTTCTTAAAAGTCGAACCAACCAGTTCGAAAAAAAATTACCTAGAGCTCGATCTGAATCTCAGAAGTCAAACCGTGAACGCCGACCAGTCTCAGCCTCGCATTAGCTGTGATAGCATCGTGCATGTTTACACTAGCTGAATACATATATTTAGACAGTAAAAATACATTTAGACAATATGTGACAGTGACAGTAATTATTATATAATAAAATGCATTTTAAAATAAAGATTTCTTATTAATTATTTAAATATTAATAATAAACCATTATTTCATTATAATAATATTGACGTGCCCAGCTGGGACGGAACGGAGACAAAGGCGCAGACGTCAGGGTATCGGGGAATACGGGGTTTAATTACAGGTAAGGCAGGCAAAATGCAGACGGACAATACAATGATGGGACTGTTGTAACAAACTGAAACGCGGACAAAATACAGAGGATTAATGACAACAACCAGAAACAGCTGATCACACGGGGATTCCACACGGGGTTAACGAGGGGGCGTGGCACACGGAAGCAGCGGACGATCGGGGTAGGACACATTTTTTTTTTAACTTTACACATTGTTTGGATACATTTATTTTCTTACTTTACAAATTACTGTTTTGATAAATGTGCTTAGATGTGTTTAGTACAGTATAGGCTCCTCTTGTTTTATCCGGTTCATTTTGTGCTTAAATGCTAAAAAAAAACATATTTAGGTGTAATTCTTTGGGGCCGGGAAAATTGGGACCAGTTAATTGGTTTTCCATTATTTCTTATGGGGAAAATTTGATCAGAACTTGAACTTTTTAGGATTCGATCAGAAGTTCTGAACGGATTAAATTCGAGTTCTGAGGTACCACTGTATATTGTTATTCACAACCATCCTACCTCCACCCTAATAGCCTTCTAATCTCACCAGAGAAATTGAAACGTAATTTTGATGACAATTAGGCTCTGGGTGACACAGGCCATAGTAACAGAAACATCCACAGACTCAGAAGCCTCCACCCGTGTATGTGAGACCTCCCAACCCCTCCATCAGATATATGATATCATGATATATAGGCTGGCATCACGGGATATTATTATCTGCTGAGCAGCAGACTGATAACCACCGCATTAGTAAAACAATTGAACTTTTGGGTGTCCACAAACGTGGCGGAACTCCCAGAGTGAACAGGATTCAAGTAGGTTTCACCAGGCCTGTTGCCCAGCTCTGAAAACTTGCTGCTCAGCAGGTTGTAGAGCTCCCTGCAGCTGTTGCAGAGATTAGTAATGGCGTGTAGCACTTTCTCAGTCGTCCACACAGTGCGTGGGTAACCAGCATTAAGGCATCAAATCCAGGAAGTGCGCTACCTATCAACATGTTATCTTTAGGCCACCATCTTGTGGAAGGCGAGATTTTTGTCCAGCTGATTCCTCAAGGATCGCCCATAGCACTGAAATATAAGCAGGGGTTATGGATAAAACTAAAGGTTTCATACAGCAAAACCAGATCTGATTGTTTGGTCCCACCTCCTCTGCAATCTGATTGGTTATCTCTCTGAACCAATAACTTTTAGTTCTGCCTTCAGAACATTTTTTTGTGTAAATAAAACTCCCATGAGAGACTGTAAAATCAGGCAGTATGCATGATACTATGAAGGATCCCAGGAGGAGAAAAGGCAGGTTACAGCATATGGTCTAGAGGTCCAGAAGGATGTCAGTGCAGATTGTAACCCCACAGACAGACAGCCTATGAACTCTCATGTGTAATGCACCTCTATTTCCTCCTCTATTCATTTTCTGCATTCATGTTTGACATACTGTACGCATTCACCATGGAGGGGCTGTAATCTGGAGCGATGCACATGATTTAAATATGTCAAAACAACTGCATGAAACATGATTCTGTTTATTAAATTTGGCTTTTTGATGCTATAAAGGTCGTAGATTAAATTTATACCCTGGAACCTTGTATCCTTTTTCCAGCTGCATACTTCCCCGACATCTAATCCCAGCCATCATAGGGCACAAGACAGGGGATTACCCTGGATGGCCGGCCAGTTCATCACAAGACACATAATCACTACAAGAAATTTAGAGCCGCAGATTCGCCGTGTTTTTGGTATGTGAAAGTACATTGCAGTTTTACTCTATACTTTCCGCCTCTTGATTTAAGTAACCTAATTTATGTTCCACTAATCACCACCCATGCAAACATGTATTTTATGGTGAACCTGGAGGTTTTTGTGAGCACATGAATTACGTTTTCTCTCCCTAATTGATGCTTTTTGCGTGTAATGTGCATGGTCTGTCTGCAGCTTGACATTTGTAGGTCAGGTTCAAAGACACTGACCAATAATAACAGCACCCAGTCCCAGGATGTGCCAAGTGTAAAAAGCGGGTCCCTCAATCATTAAACTTAAACTGGATAAACTGGAATATACTGGTGCCCATCCACACTATCCAAGTTAAGAAGTAAAAAAGTATCAAAAATGACCACAGAAACTGGTACTGAAGTGAGTATACAAATTCACATTTCCCCATATAAACAAATATGATTTGATTACACCATTCTTATAAGAACTAATTTGGTCATACTGTTTTCCTTTGTACTCCAATTTTCAGATAAACACACTAGGAAAATTCTGTATAAAACTCAGGATTCATATTAATGCTTTGAACACGACCTACTAGTATAACGCTGGGCAGACCGTGACTGATCGTCCAGTAAGTGATCTTTGGGGATTCTAAGGAAAATTCATGGTTGATGGTGATTTTTTTTTTTTTTTTTTACTAATTTTTTTCCTCAGACACACAACAAGAAGGGCTTCAGGCAACTCAGGTATTGGACTCCTGAAAAACTGACAAAAAGTTCGCAAAGGGAATAGTTTATTTAAACAGGCACATATTTATAACACAAAGGCAAACAGGCACTTCTGGGTAAACCAAAACACCACCACCAAAAATAAAATAATAATAAAAAAACACACACAAACACTAGTGTGGGTGATCCAAGACTGGAGGCACTTCAGGGATCCCCCATCTCCTCTCGAACACACCAGTATTGCCGTTTCAGTTCCGGTTATTCCCGTAATCTTACCGCCGTGAATTAAGGCAGGGGCATCGCAGATCGCCGACGTGTGTAAACAGCAGTCACTTGTTCGCGTGGATTCTCTTTGCGCGTCTGATACTTTCATTGCATACAAGATCTGCAGGCAGCGGGGTGCAAGTCCCGATGTGCCTGCTTGGTATCTATAGAGACAGGGGGCTTTAAAGTGCAGGTGAACAGCAATGGGAGCAGCTCAACAGAAAGTCTCAGATTGGCCCTGAGTATCAGCTTGTTCATATATAAATATATATAAACCAGGAGTATAGTAAGAAGGCAGCCATACCTGGCTGTATCTGACCTGAATACACCCAGCTTACAGCCTACACCGGCCAGGAGAGTCACAATGCACGTATTCTTACCATGACACTTGTGTAACATTTTAAATAATCCTGAATACATTCTTACACATGTTTTAACACTACTGACTAAAATAGGTTCCCTAAAGAACATTTTGCACAACAAACAGACCTCATATATATTATATTAACATTTGGACACACTTTCACAGCATCTTCTCTCTCACCTAAAATTAAAACGGACGGTGGAAAATGGTGCACCAAGTAACCCGAACAGAACCCCAGCTTCGTCGTCGTTAGAGGGAGTTTTTCTTACTCAAAAATGTTCTCAGAGCAGAACCAAAATGATTGGTTCAGAAAGATAACCAATCAGATTATAGAGGAGGTGGGCCCAAGAAACAAGATGACCAAGACATCTGATTGGTTGGTCCCGCCTCCTGTAGTTGCATTGACCCACGTCCTCTACAGTCTGATTGGTTATCTCCCTGAATTAATAAATTTTTGTTCTGCCCTGAGAATATTCTCGTGCAAGTAAAACTCCCATGAGCTTTGTCATCTGAGGGGATTACCAATTGTTCCAAGGCTCCGTGTTGCAATGTTGAGCTGGCGGCTCAGTCATGAGCTCCACATCCTGAACCTCGTGGTGAACGGTCCAGGGCAGATCGCCAACAGGTCTCCTAGCCGACGGCAAAGGCACATTCGTTTGGAAGTCACGTCTCAGGCCGCGTCCATAATGTCGTCTGTTATGGCGGTCTCACGCTCGCCCAGCTGGCTGGTGAGGTCGGGCAGCCGTCGGGCCTGCAGGCTCACCGACCTGGGCTGCACCTCCCGGTCCCGCCGGCAGCAGACGCAGGCCAGGCAGTCTGCCACGTTGTGGTGGAAGAGGCTCCGGCAGGGGTGGCAGTACTGGTAAAACAGCAGCATGAAGAGCACGGCCATACCGTAGCACACCAGCAGCTGAGCCACCAGCAGCGGCGCACACACATACTCGTAGAAGTCCGTCTTGAAGAAGTACCACAGGACGATGAGGCTCACGTTCTCCGCTAAGCGCACGCAGTAGTACGTGGCCAGGCAGCCCCAGCGCGGCCGCTTGTCGATCAGGTCCCTGTCGGTCAGGTCCAGCTGGAAGGCCGACCAGCAGAAGATATTGATGCAGGCGTAGAGAAGGGTCACCATGCACAGCACCACTGTGGTGCCCACCTTGCTGAAGTTCTTTTCCACGTTCTCGGGCAGAGAGGCCCTCCTCACCCAGAAATCAACCCAGGGCAGGAAGAGGAAGAAGAACAGGTTGCCCAGTGCCACGAGTGCCATCCAGTGGATGAGCGCCGTGCTAAAGAGCACGAGAGCTGTCACACGGACGGTGATCTCCAGCCCCCTCCACAGGATCATGCAGAGATAGGCTGCAGGTCGCACGCGCACTTTGAAATCGTCATATTTGATCTGGATGGCCAGGACACTGCAGACCAGTGCACCGTAGGTGATGGAGATGAGGGTTATGACCATCAGGACAACTGGAATGGGGACACAAGAACAGCAGGCTTAGCTAGAACCCCAAACACCATCACTGCATCTCCATCCCCCCCCCCACTCGCCAAAAAAATAAATCTAAACATATAAACATAACAATAAAGAGCAGACTAGACAAAGAAGAGTAGCAGAAAGAGCCAGAACACCAGTGGGCTCTACCTCGAGAGGGGAGCATCTCCTTCTCCTGTATGGTGACGTACAGCTGCAGCGTCAGCTGTGGAGTGGAGCCCAGGAATGCCTGGATAAGCACAGTGCGCTTGAAGGCGTTGCGGTGGACCGCCAGCTTGCGCTCCGAATGACCCGTCTCCCACTCTGTGAGAGTGCCCCGGCCGCTCTTCAAGAGGATCTTCCTGGAGATGGTAACGTAGGGCTCCTCTTCCCTGCCTGCCTGGCAGTAGATCACCAGGGCATCAACACACCTGGTCAGCAGGAGATCGAGAAGCTCCGTCATCGGCAAGGCGAATCAGAGCGGAACAGAGCCAGAGACAGTTCATTCCTGGTCATATACCACAGTATGGATTTTAACACTGAATAAAAGTAATGGCTGCCATAAGAAACAGGTTTAATGGTCTCAGTATAGAAATCAAGAGTTTGAAAAAAGCACCATACAAAAAGGCATCCATGTCTACAAAGAGTGGAAGTACCTTTCAAACACAATGGATCCTTTTAAATTTGCACCAGCCTGAAGTTGATGTTTCCATCACCTTCTAGAACAAGGGTGTTAGACTCCAGTCCTGGGGGGCAGGAGCCCTGCACATTTTTGGGTTTCCCCTCATTAAACTCATGAGATTCAACTACTTGTGCTAATTACCACACAGCTCTTGAGCTGAATCATTTGGGGTTGAACAGGGAAAGAACTAAGCTACACAGGGCTCCGCCCCCCCAGGACTGCAGTTTGACATCCCTGCTCTAGAACAAGAAAAGGCTTTTGGAACCTTCTGCCACAGACCTTTCCTGAGAACACTAGTGCCACTGGTGTAAAATGACAATATTCAAGCAATTGCACATTGTGCTTTAAATTTGCAAATTAAATATCTGGTGTCAGTGTAGTTTAGTATGTTCAGTTTTAACCAACATTAAGTGGAAGGACATTTGAGATTAATTAAAACTAGGATGAGTACAGTATTGTGAAAATGGGACAACTGGCAAACGGGACAGTTAAATTTTGCAGTTAATTTATGTGTTTAGTAATACTTTATTTTCCATATTGTATTCAAGGGGCATTAATGTATGTAGAATGGTATCAAGTTGGGATTCAAGACATTGAGAAGTTTTTTTTCAGAGAGCAAATTTTCAGTGTCCCATTTTAACAATACTCACATCAACTGATCATTTAACCAAACTACTAATGTCACTGTCACACTTATGTATAAACTTTGTATTTTCAAAATGTGCAACTGCCAATGGTTCATTGCAGGTTTTCGACTACAATGATGAAAACATCATTCAGCCCCTTTAGAAAATCCCCATTGGTTACATATCTTGCATTTCTGTTTGGCCTCCACAAGGGGGAGTGCGCGCACACATTTTCACTTCTTTAATTTCCAAGCGGAAAGATATCATCGCTATATAAAATGTAATCAGCCTTGAAACATTGTAATCAGGGGTCAACACGATGGACATTTTGATCAAAATGCAAATTTTTACCACGGACGTGGTATTTAAAAATGGAGCCTACAAATATTTTTTTCCTTCAAGAATAACATTTTGCCATAGACCCAGACACTTTTGTATGGACAGGTTGACGATCCCTGGCTGTAACTGTAACTGTAAATGATTTTTTTTATTATTTGAAAAACGCCATTTCAGAGTAAGTTATGAATTTTTTTTTATATAAATATTCACTCATTAAAATAAAAACCATTTATCCTTCCCCATAAATATAGTTTAAAAAGAAAAATCCCACTCAATGTTTTTGGCAGGAAAAGCCCTTGATTTGGAGACGCAAACTAGACCATGTGCCCACAGCCAAAGGCCTCGGAGGGGCATGGATACCCTGACAGGTTCAGGGGGCCCAGCATTTTATTGGGGCCCCAAAGTCACCCATGGGGTGGCCAAGGTCACATTTCATCAGAGGGCCCAGCATTTCAAGCTACGGCTCTGCTCACAGCAGCCTATCTGTAGTTCTGCTTGCAGACTGCCCTCACCAGAAAAGCACGGGGGTCTCGCCCTGCTCATAGCTCAGGGGTCTTCCCACTGGAGCATGCTCAGTCCGGTCCGGGGGTTGGACAATGGCTGTGGTTTGATGGCAGACCACAGACCAATAGGACACACGCCATGTTCTTTGCATCCATGGCAACTCTGTGACACTGTGCCGCTTCAGGGGACATGCAACTACGCGCAAGACCCATGCGTCAGACCAGACAGCCGGCTCCTTTTCAGCCAGGGAAAGGTCTTGCACTGCCTGCAGCTGCTCTAATCGAGTCTCTATGCAATGTCCTCTCCCACGGGCTTCACACAGCTGCTCGCCAACCCAGTGACAGTGCCCGGCAGGTGTCCCGTCCGGCAGCCCCACCACAGCGGAGGAACACCATCACAAAGCTCGATATTTCCTGTAAGCGAGCAGCAGCAGGCTAGACAGCTGGCGGCGTGGGGCGGGACATACTGGGAGGCTCAAGCTGAATCGGGGATTTGGACTCAGTTATTCCACCTGCAGCTCTAAATCTCAGCCCAAACTCTGCAGATTAACCGATTCGGTGCAGTGATTCAGAGCAAACTGTAGGTACAAGTGTGAATAATCAACTTGTAGACAGAGATGGCAGAAAACATAGCTCTTGTGGAGCTAAACGCTGCACTGTCCTACCAGGAATTCCCAAGGCCACCACCCAGAAAGGTCATCTAATCTGACAGTTTACACAAAGCACCCTTGCATACATTATTGATGGCCGTGGAGACGATGTAATCCTGCCACGATGTGATCACCGCTAAGACATGCAATTTCCTCAGAGCTGCATACAAAATGAGTCTTTTTTTGCGAACACACACAAGAAACAAACGCCGTCTTTACCAGTCACAGCGGCGCAGCCAGATGGCGTTACCTCAAGATCACACATGGTGCGCAGCTATTTACGATGGAGTCGGTTTCCAGGCTGGACACAGTATCCAGGACATTGCTGTCACTCACAGCTTTTGACACCAGCACTTGGGGGAGTAGCCCAACTTGAACATCTGTCTTCTGATTTCCACGTGTTTTTCTTCAGGCTCAGAGTCAGAAGGAAAACCAATATTCGGGATTTTTCCTACACTACCTAAACTTAATGTTTCACTGTGTGGAAGTCAGATTTCATATGCTGAAAAGGGCACTGCTCTGTAGAAGCTGCATGGTGCACAACCGAGCCTAATGCCAGACTGGATACTTCAGAAGGAACAGACACCAGGAGTCCAGACCGAGGCACTGGTAGCTAACACAGCAACACAGGAGGACCAGGTGGTCCTGGGCCTACCCAGGTGTAGCTCAGGCCCACCCCTTCAGCGTTGATAGTGAGCGATACGGCACAATCGAACGATTGTCTGACAGGTATGTGTGTGCGTGGTTACATCAATCGGAGGAAAATAAAGGCAAATAAATTTCTTTCACTTTGTTCAATTGGTCTTCGCAGTGCCACAGGTCATTTAAAAACCGAGTCTGTAGTGTGATTTGTTCGCAAAGAGAATTGCTATGGGGCTGATTTTCTGACTGCCCACCTATATGATTTCTGCCAGCACTATTAGCTGGTATTTGGGACATCCACACAGCTACAAAGGTGAGGCCAAATCACGGACACACATACACATATACATACACAAAATGAAGAACGCCATTTAAAACATATGAAAATTAGGCCTGAAATTTCCAGTTTCCAGCAAGTCAATTTCAACAAGCTGAGAAAACTGGAGTCGATGTCTGTGATGGCTGTTCCGGAACATTCTTCAGAAACAGCATCTGGTTTTGGAACTAAAGCTTAAATCACTGATGGATGTTGCCTGAGCAGCACATTTATATATAAATATAAATATATAAATTTTTACTATGATACACATTTCTTGGTTTTGTAATACTCCTCCCTCCAGATAATGCCTAATCCTAGAAACCAGGATTCTACAATGAATGTTCCATCAAACTAGAGCTCCTCTAGAAATGTTGTCCCAACATCCTAGATGTCGAGGCTCATTCAAGAACACAGGGGCCACAGCTACAGACGGCAGCCGTACCTCAGTGAAAATGTGATGCATTTTGGTAGCGCATACAGAAAGGGCAGCGCGGTTTCCTACGAGGTCCGAGATATACTTAGACAACCTGGCTCCGTGACACTGGTTCTGGGTGGATAAACGCAGACGTGGCTGTGAGCCCATGGCAGACAGCTACACCTCCACAAAAGGCAACAACCCAATTTTATTCTGTGAATGTTACTTTTAAATGTCTGGGACAGTAAAACCTGACCACTAACATGCAAGATGCCATAAACTATGCTTTCCTAAAACACTCAGGCAAACAAAAGGAATTTGAAAAGTCATGAGGTGATTTAGTTACAGTTGCATTTTACTTATTTAACAGACACTTTTATGCACAGCAACAGGCATTTTATTTTGATTTATTTATGTTATTTTCTAAAAACAGGGTCAGACAGACAGGTCCTGGAGCAATCAGGGGGTAGGGGCCCTGCTCAGAGGCCAATAATGAAATTGCTCTGCGGACCCGGGGATCTGATCCAGTGTCCTCCTGATCACAGGTACAGCATCCTATCTGGCTGAGCCACATTCCGCCCCTACAGTTAGCGATGCAGTGCAGCAGACACCAGTATCCAATGGGTTAAACATAAATACCCAAGCAGCTTTTACCCTAACGAAGGAGGTTTCAAAATGACGAATTTTACATGAATATTTTGACATTCTACATTGCCATACTGTTATGGAAGAGAAACTCTTAAAGAGGAAGCGCAAAAAATAAAGAGAATGATACGTTAGAAACTTCCTCTCCTAAAAGTAAACCCCATGACAATACTACTCTGTATAACCAGGAGATCAGGCCTTATTTTTCTGAGTCTGCAGCTCAGCTTCAAGTCCAAACTGTACAGTTAACCCTTTTGCATTGCGACTTTCCCCATTGTGCTTCTGATGATTTCTTATGCCAACCCAGTGATCTAAGTGGGAATTATTTTGGGAGTTTTGCAAAAATTACAAATAAAAGAAGGCCAGCAGATGACACACCAAAAGTTTAGTAACCCATAAACACATATAATACATGTACACTGTTCTCATGTGATACCTCACCGTGATCTTGTGATATTTGTATCCTAATCCCCGTGATGTGGAAGGGTGGACTCTACTAGTTCTCCTGACTAGACGACTACAACTCTGTACTATCAGGTTTACCAACTCCTGCAGTCAAATCCATCCAAATAATTCTATACAAAGCAGTACGTCTGGATTTCAACCAGCCTAAATGTTCTCATGCCAAACCCCTCCTTGATTCTCTTCACTGGCTCCAAACTGGTGCTCACATCAAGTTCAAGCCTTTGGTTCTGTCTTACAGGTCCGTCAATGAACAGGGACCCACCTCCATCAACAGACTCCTTAAGACCCTAGTCCCATCTCGCCATCATTGGTCAGCAAACCAACGCGGCTGAGAGATCCCTCCTGAGCTGCTGAACCACAACCAGCCATTGGATTCTCAAGAAACACCTCAAGACCCATCCGTTCCAGGAACCGCTCCATGTTCCCTGAATGCCCTTAGTATTGTACTTTGTTTGCTGATTTGAATAATTCTCTCATTAGGTTCTTGTTTTGTTTGGAAGATGTGTCCTTCTTGATCTGATACCACTTGCATTTGTAACTGGACGTTCACTGGGACCTCAGCCTAGCTGCACTGATGCCAAGTCAACTCCCCAACAGCCATATGTTTACAATGTGCAATTTAAGATAAGGTAAGATAATCTTTATTGTCATTGTCACTTGACAACGAAATTGCGAAAGTTTACCTCACTTCTATGTTATTCTGAACAAAAGCATCTACTAAATGAAAATGTAAATCTCAGTTCAGCACATCCTTTACAAATCAAGACTTTAAATATACCAAACCCACTCACTGCCATGTCTCTCTTAGACACACACCAGAACAGAAGAAGACAATCTGTATTTCAAAATACACAATAACTGTGACAGTCATTTGATCGGCCTATACTTATAAACAAAAGAGAAAATATTGATAAAATAAATTAAAACAAACAGTATATACACCATTACGACAGTAAAAATAAAGTTCAAAATTGTTCAAACACAAAAAACAAAAATATAGTGAGTTCAGTTTAAGTAAGGCTACCAGCTCTATAAGTACTGTAAGGCTACCAGCTCTATAAGTAAGGCTACCAGCTCTATAACCGTGGGGCCACTTAAATAAGCAGTAATCTCAAAATGGCAAATCTGCAATTGCATGTGTTACAGAAATGCTAGAAAATCAAAACCCCAACAATAACAAATAAAACATTTTATCTCTAAGCCTCCTGTCTCTAAAGTTTGGACCTGAAGCATGAATCATGGTTTTACATCTCATTTAATGTTGGTGTGATAAACCACCTGACACATCACTGATTCTTGGGAATTTGGATAAAACAGGTTTTAATTCTGAAAATAAAAAGTTACTTAAATTACAAAATCTGAAGTTATATCATTATAGACCAGTGTAACCTCCTAATTTTGTATTTTTTTTCATAAAATAGGCATTTTTTTCAGTTATTACTTTGTTTTTGTCAACATAAAGTTAAAGTTGAGTGTAATGATTGGGGGGGGGGGGGATTTGGGGGGAATGTTGTGAATGTTGGATGATGTAAGCCAAATGAACATGGCTTAATAGTGAATTGTGAGAGAGGGTGATTATCCCCTATCTGAGGATAACTGATTTTGTAGGCAATGGGCCAGCATATAATCATTAAATTAATAAAAAATAAAAAATAAGCATATAAAAGAACCTTACATATGTGCAAAGGACCCCCTAATTATAACCGTGATTCTCTTTATTCATGATAATGTTATTAATTTCCAACAGAATGAGCACTTTTTTTAGTGGGACATGTTTTTGCCAAAGTTTCAAGAATCAGTGACATACAACCCCACAGTGCTACTCCCTAACTGACATTATGTTCCACAGCTAAGGTGAAACTAACTACAGGTCAGGCTTCCTCAACTAGTTAAACAAGTCAGTTTTGTGAAACCAGATACAGCCTGTCATTACACAATAAAATTCCTTTCACATCCCTGATTCTCCAAGTTAAAGGAACTTGAAAGAAGAACTAATGAGTAGTTGGTCCATGTCATGAGACTATTACGCTACAGCCAAGAAGCAGCAGGAGCTCCGGGTCGGAGGGATCTCTCCTTTATTGTCTAGCAGTATTTCTGTTTCAAGACAGTAGCAGATACTTCAGATGTCCATCCACCTTCAAACAGCTTATCTCGGTGTTACTGGGGAAGCGAAGGAGACTACCCCAGACAACACAGCGCTCAAGGCAAGGGTACACCATGGATGCGAGGTACCGAAGATGTGTTTCGTCGGATTTAAACTAAGACTGATCTCCTACAAGGCGATTATGTTCTATACCTGATAAGAGGACCCATCAGGAGAAGATGTAGGAAAAGAACGAGGGGGCGATCTCTCCCCAGGTCCCGGTGGATGAAAGTCAGCGCCAGCTGCGTCAGGACGGACGGCACCAGGACGAAGGTAATGGTCAGACCCATCCAGATGTCGTCGTGACTTTCATGGTAGTAGCTGCAAAGCACGGCAGCGCTGACGAACTCGGCGCAGTATAGAGCCGCGGCGATCAGAACGCCCCACGGGGGCTGGATATTACTGCGGTCCGCGACCAACACCGAGCCGTTCTGGGCGCGCGCGGTCGGTACCTGCTCTCCGCAGTCTACGATCTCGTTTTCCGGAACTTCCATTGTAACAGAAAAGTATAACAGTTGTTTGAGACAAAGTCACTACAGCAACGTAAATGTGGCGATTTCTTTGCTGCGGAACAGCCAGTTTTCGGTTGTGAGCAATGGGCGTTGTCAGTTTTGCGCCAGACTTATTCGGATTATATATATCGCAATTAAATGTACAGCGACATGCTAGTATTACATTTAAAAATTTATACACTCTAACTCACTTTTTTGTACCGATCGTTGTGTCAATCGAGAGTCGTCTGTAAAGCAACTGGTATCTACTATATCTCATGCTGCTCGACTTCATTACAATAAATGTCAAGCAAAAACAGTGAGCAACTTCAATTCTTCAATCTGCTGTAACAACGTTACTGACGATTACAAATAAACGCCTCGTTGCACCCCGGCGCGTGGCCTTAAAGAAACATCACATTACTGATGATAACGAGAAATAACTAAATCATACTCTGTCATTAACACCCCGCATAGTCTATTTGTCAACAACTGTGTAAAAAAATGAAAACATTCAGGCTCTGCTTGGAGGCACAAAAGCACAAGGCCAAACACGGGAAGATGACTGCTTAACCTACCACGCCATCTGTACGGATTAACGCCGGCATGTTTATAACGACGGAAAATATAGATCGAAACCTATCAGACTAGTGCACACTCGGGTGTCAAACGGGGGAAGTCTACGAAGCTGTCTGTAGCACCGCCACCCCACAAACCCTCCTGAAGATCCGAGTAAAGCGACAGGCCAAGTGGCCCCATTTCAAGGCGAAGAAAACAAGCCCATCCAAAGCCACGTTCCGCGCCTCCGCGTAACCTCCGGCGACCACGTATCGGGCTCAGCTCTGGCCCCAAATGATCCGCTGGGGCCGCAGCGTCCCGAAATGCTGACACTGCACTCCCCACCCCGGCATTCGGCTTTGCGGCTTCCCCTGGGTCCTAAAATCCAACTAGTTCCATGCGTGCTTACTGAATGCGACATTTAAACTCACAAAGCTAAACGCCACTTGGGAATTCGCTTAGGGCAGGCTGCGGCAATTCTTTTCTACAATGGCCACATCCTACCTTCACCGTGTCACATTCACCCCGGTTGATGTAATCTTGTACCAATCACATTGCTCTTCCAGATTTTCTGCAGGTCTATATAAGTAAATAAGATGTAAAAAAAAACAGGTTAGATAGCATATGGACCAAATAGAAGAATGTCTTTATTGTCACTGCACATTTTAGAACAATGTGCATCACCTGGAACTGGTGCTACTTAAAAAAATACAAAGAGTAAGAAATTTTTAAATAAAATTAAAATATGCTGTATAAAAAGTAGAATATCCTGTATAGAATAGCTAATTACATAGGTAAATAATATAATTTATGAACATGGTACAATGATTTACACATTAAATAGACATTATTGTTCATGACATGTAGTATTTCACATTATACATAGTATTGCCAGTGAGACTGCCGAAGACGTGGAGGGCGCCGATGGGACGTCAGGAGGTGTAGACCACTCTGCTGGAGATGTGGAGGGCGCCGATGGGACGTCAGGAGGTGTAGACCACTCTGCTGGAGATGTGGAGGGCGCCGATGGGACGTCAGGAGGTGCAGACCACTCTGCTGGAGATGTGGAGGTCGCCGATGGGACGTCAGGAGACGTGGACCACTTTGCTGGAGATGTGGAGGGCGCCGATGGGACGTCAGGAGGTGTAAACCACTCTGCTGGAGATGTGGAGGGTGCCGATGGGACGTCAGGAGGTGTAGACCACTCTGCTGGAGATGTGGAGGGCGTCGATGGGATGTCAGGAGACATGGACCACTCTGCTGGAGATGAGGACGGTGCTGAATGCACATCAAGAAGCAGCTATGGGATTGGAACTGCAGGTGGAGAAGATGCCAAAGAAACACCAGGCATGACAGTGATGCAGACTCACCAGAGCAGGGCAATGTGTGTTTGGCTTCTCACAAATCGGGTGTTGGCGGCATGGCCTCTCCTGAGCCAGGCACATCTTTGACACTGTGGGCTCGGTCTCAAGAGCGTCCTCAGGTGGGTCAGACCCTGCTGGGCTCGGCAGTTCTGCTCTCCTCCTCCAGAGCTTAGCATGAGAAGCGGTAATGGAGCAGCTTCTAGCAACAGACAAGAATCAGGCAGAGCAGCTTCTCGCTGCTGAGAAGCATCGGGCGGGGAGCCGGCGGCCCGAGCAGTGAGATGAACAGCGGCAGATGTAGTGTCTCATGGTCCAGAACCTGGGACTGCAGGTTTCTCCAACAGAGAAGCCCCGTCTGCCTCGACCAGTCCCTGTACTTCTCCCAAAAGGTGCCGGGCCTTCTCCACCTCCTGGGGATCCTCATCTGGGGTGAGTCCTTCCAACACCTGTTCTGTCTCCAGAAGTATCGCCCTCACTTCAGGGATCCTACACTGTGTGAGATCATGCCTCCACTCCAGATGCGCATCCAGCAAAGCAAAAAGGTCTACTGCCTGGAGATGGGGCAATGCAGCCGGATGCATGTCAGAGGGCGTGGCGCTTGTTGGTAGTCCCTCAGAGGGAACGTTGGAGTTAAAGGCTGTCAGGATGTTTGTGGAATCCTGGCATACTGTCAAGTCTATAGTAGTGAGGAGGCGTAAAAACTCCAGGCACACCCTTTGTGCAGGAAATACCCCCAAAGGGGACTTTATTAGGGATGCAACAGAGGGGAGTAGGTCAATAACGGGGACCTACAGAGGGCTCAAACTTATGACACACAGCAATGCCAGGACTCGAGCACATAGGACAGAAGGTCACATAAACACTGTTAACGAAGAGTACACAAGGGGCAAGTGTGGGCCATAACAATAAACTCATAACAAGGGCTTTGAAACAGCTGCCCAACATAAGGGCACAGCAGTGACATCTGCTGGCCAAACAGAAACAGGACGGGGTTGATGGTGACAGGTGTACATGTCTTTTAGAATATCTATGGCTTCACAAAAGCATTGTGATCTGAAAATGTCCCCAGTGAGGGGAAGGGGTGGGCAATTACTTTCTGAGCAGTGTCAGTGTCGGTGATCCTTTGAAGGGCTTGCCTGCCTAGCTGAATAGTGAGTGTCCACAGTGTACTATGAATGCACTGTGATGCAATAGTTCAGGACGCTTTCAATGGAGCAGTGACAGAATGGCGCAAGCTGCTGGAGGAACAGGCTGGTTATTTTAATTGCCCTTGTTGACCAAGGCAGTGATGTTAGTTGCCCATATGAGGTTCCCTGTGATGTGAGTTCCCAGAAATGTTTAAAGTGGAGCCCCTTTCCTCGTTGTCTCCGCTGATGTTTAATGGGGAGAGGTCCTTCTGAAATTGATAATGAGTTCTTTGGTTTTGTTGGTTTTGCATGACAGGTGTGAGACTAGGGGAGAGGTGGGGGAGAATCTGACTGAGCGGTTTAACACAGACTCCTTGATCCACATACACATAGGCTGACTGAGATCCAGGTTGAGCAGTTTGCTGTCCAGCCTACTGTGGACCAGTGTGTTGAACACCAAGCTATAGTCAATATAAAGCATTCTCACATTTGTCTCCCGTTGTTTGAGATGGATAGACAGTACTGATGGCATCATCTGTGGATCCATTTACTCTGTAGACACACTGGTGCTGGTCCAGGTTAGAGGATGCAGTGGCTCTGCTGTGCCTTGAGACCAGTCTCTCAAAGCACTTCATAATGATGGGTGTGAGAGCCACTGGTCTGTAGTGATTTAGACAGGTAACCATGGTTTCCTTTGCACTGGAATAATGGTAGCTGTCGTTAGGTATGAGGAGATGATGGACTGGACAGAGACAGGCTGGAGCTATTGGAGAAGACCTTGATAGCTGGTAGGCACAGTTCTTGAGCATCCTTCCAGGTATCCCATCAGGACGGGCCACCCTCGATTCATTCACTGTGCTGGGCTCGATTTCCCGATAACAGTGACTTTTAGCATCTTATGAAACCTTGAAAGGTATACCTTACTGAAGTTGCTTACTTTTCTGCACGTGGTCCCCAAGCAATCCCTTAAGAGGCTGCTTAAGGGTGAGCTTCATAAGTGTGAAGTAACTAGGCGCTGGAACATCTGACTGGTTGACTTTGATGGCTTAAGAATTTATCATTCCTTCCATGCAGCAACTGCTTGACTGCGGCATGAGAGAAAGTGGTGTTCTTTATAAGTATAGCACTGCGGAAATGCTTCAAAATATTGCATTTATCAACACTGGGGACAACCTAAAAATAAAATACAAAATTAACAAACTTAGTCATCTAACCGTAAATATGATTTTCGCTATTTGGGTGCCCACCTCCCCAGATTGTCGTTTCACACCATTTTATTTTTATTTGTTCTATAAAACACCTGTATGCACCAACATGTGAGAATGTCATTGATACTGGGACGAGCGATGGCCCAACAGGCAAAAGAAAAGTTGTGTTACTGTCATAAGATAAGAGAGCGTCCTATGCGCTTCATTACTGCCTACCCACATAGCAAGAGGAGTGTGAACCGGATCGGGGCTCAATGTTCGGAAATCACTGTAGATCCATAAACCAGATCTGGCCTGGTTTCACTTTGCACTACTGACCAATACTGGTCTGAATTCACTTTCTGTATTTGAAACAGATAAGGGTCATATCTGGGCCAGCTTTACATTGAATATTATGAAATTCATCTTGTATTTGCACCAGAGTCAAAAGTTAGATCAGATCTGGTCCAAATGCAGCTCAGATGCAATTTTCCAGACTGACTGCTGACTAGTTCTGCTCCAGGATCCTAAAGTAACATAATACAATGAATAAATGCTTTTATTTGCCATTTGCACAGGTGTATTAGAATTCATCTCTTTGCCTACCCCATATTGCTCTCTATAGCTTGGGGGTCACAGCAGAGGGCCAGCCAATGTGCAGCATCCCTGGAGCTGGGGGGTTAAGGGTCTTGCTCAAGGGCCCACGGACATGTGACTGTCCTGCTGAGGCGGTGACATAAGAACATAAGAACATAAGAAATTTACAAACGAGAGGAGGCCATTCCAGTCACTGGCACTGAGCCACTCACCACCCACATATAGGCCTAAGTTAGGATCCTGGATCTTAGAATCCTAAGACCCTAACCCAACCCAACATTATAAAAGCATGTCTTATGGAATGTTTACATAACTTAGGACATTTTAGGAACCACGTCAGAACGTTAAGGTACAGCTTACGGTAGAATGATGTAGCGTTAAGAAGGCTTCGGGAAACCTACCCCTGAACACTTTTCTTACCTTGAGTGCCAGTACAGTGAATGCGAGGTATAAGTCGTTTAAGAAAAATTAAAACGTAGGCTAACAAAGAAAAAAAATCTTTTCAATTAATTTAATTATTTTTTGAACGAGACTTCGAAACCATAATAAAGGAACCCTGACGGCGAAGCGTTATTCCCATATTTCCCACTAGATGGCATTACATGACAACAATAAAAACTCAAAAAGCTACATCAGCCCTTACAGTTGTTGCGGTCGTTTTCACGCTTGTTTCAATGCCATGTCCCCTTCATCAGAACTCTTCACACAGAATGCTTTAGAAAACATCAGTTAACCTTTGGTGCAAAATGCACTTCAACCACCAAAGACGCTTCATACTTCACTCAAAGGTGATTCATGTTACCATAACTATAGCATACGCTCTGTCATAGCTGTCAAGTCTCCCGTTTTGGCCGGGAGAGTACCGTATTTACCCCTCTTTCCCGCCGTCCTCCCTTATTAGTATTTTCCCGTAAATCTCCCGTATTATAATATCATTAAAAAAAATTCCTCTGCCTCTCCAAACTGAACTGTCATAGCCTCGCGAGAACTGCCACCTGCAGTAGCCTGCAGGTCATTTACAACATTAACCAGGTCATAAATGCGGGGGTTAAAATGGCAATGCTGTGTGCCAAAAACAACGTTACTTTCACCTTCTGTGACGACTTCAACAAGGGTACAAAGTCTGCAACAATTCTGTATAATAAGTCATTAGTGAATGCCAGAGAGCCACATGAGTGAACATGAGAAATTAAAAGAAAATGTGTAATGAAAATAAAATGTAAATGACAAGTGGTTATTTTAGATTTCTTGTACACCTGTCTTAAAATGTAAGGGATACTGGAGCTTGGCTGGGGTGGTGGGATGGCTCGCGGTGGATGCCGGAAAATTTCCCTTATTTTCAAATCCAAAACTTGACAGGCATGCGCTCTGTCCCAAAAGACGACTGTGTCATTCAATGCGCAATCGACTAAAAACATAAACTAACTGAAGCCCCGCAAAATACACACATTATGTGTTTCCCTGTCTTGTTTTTGCATAGTTTGCTGTTGCATTTCAAAATAAAATAAAAACAAATACAGCAGAAATAGTGGAATAATCTCTTCAGCGACAACTACATCAACATTTTACATATACATGCCCGTTTCAGTTCAAAATTACTATTTTGTATACAGTCAACCTTTTAATTTGCATTAATTCGTATTCGTGCTTCGTGCTTCGCGGATTCACAGATCCGCGAAAATTTAATTCTACTGTTTTTTAATTAAATATTTTTGTTTGTATGTATATTTTTGTTCTCTCTCTCTTTTTCATGGTAAGCGCACACAGTATTTTTACAACGTATTATTTCTGTACGTCTTTACGTAATTTTTAATTGATTGAATACCTGTGCCCTGTATGTACAGTACATATATATTGTTGCTATGACAGTTCTCTATAAATTCCTTATTACAAATAAATTAATAACTACATAGCCTACGTTTTAATAGAAAGCTAATAACTTGCACGGTAAAATATAAAACGTTCTTCGTTTCGTCCGCCTCACGTTGCTGAATATACAGTTTTTGCTGTTAATGCAGCAGAACAGAAAGTGATCAGCATGATACGTTTAGCTCATCTGCACTGTTCAGCACAAATACAGACTCCAGTGCAATTAAATCAGTATTAGCCGGGTTTACTAGTTTTGCTCCAGTTTCATTTTTGATTTGGTCACCCAGAGGGTCTGCTGACAGACAGACAGCTAGCGCAAGTGGCGTGTTGAGGGGCTGTCAGCTGTTCGCAGTCAGTGCATGGGACAGTCATTCATTCACAAAATGCATAATTTGGATATTCAAAATTACATTATATGTATCTGGAATGTTTTTTTTCCTTTCGGATATCTGAAATTAAAATTATGACTAGTAACAATTGCATTGTAGATATCTGAAATAGGAGTTTTTCCTAGTAAGAATTCAATTTCGGATATCCAGAATGTTAATTCTAGATGTCTGAAATGTAATTGTGGATATCTGAAATTGAAAGTCTGACTAGTACGAATATAATTTTGACTAGGAGAAATGATATTATGTATATCTAAAATGTAATTGTGGATAGCAAATGGATCGTTTTTATGTTTAAAAAGCGTCTTTTATTATTTTCTTTTTTTCA